CACCCCAAACCTCCTGCTCCAGCAAAGCCCCCCAGCACAGAGGGCTTGGCCAACTTGTGCACAGCCAGCCCCAGGGATGGGACAGCAAAGAAGAGGCACTGCATCACACCGAGGGCTCTCAGGAGCCACAAAAGCAGAGAGATTAATTCTCTCTGTCCCCTCTCAGCCCAGGGCCTCCCCCCAGCTCCTCGCAGACCCCCACGCATGGACTGTGCCCCGTGACACTCACATCTGTGTACCGGAGGGCTGGATGGATGCCCTGCACAGCCATCACCGGCAGCAGCACCCCCTTCAGGTTCCACATCTTGCGGCTCAGGTCATCGTAGGAGCAGACAACACCAACCACAGCCTCCTCGCCCACCCCCAACACCTGCAGACACACAGGGAGCCTCTCCGTTTGCCTCTCTCTCCTGCACAGATGCCCACCTTGCCTCCCTCTCAGGTTGGCATTGTAGCCAAGCTCTGAGGAGCCAGGACTGCCACCCCAGGGAGCAGCTTCTGGCAAGAGCACTCAGCAAAACAGGGAGGTAAGAGAGAGAGGGAAGCCAAGGGCAAGACTGTCTGCAGCTCCCCAGCAGCCACGGGCATCTTAGAGGCTGGGGTTCAAGCGGCAAGGGAACACTGGCAAGGCGAGAGCTCTGCTACTGCCTCCCCGCCAGTTACCACGATGCCAACAGAAGCAGCAGTTAACAGAAAACTGCTCCAACTACATCCTTAGCCAAGGCAGAGCTGTGAAGCACAGCAAAAGCAAAGACAGAAAATATCCAGAGCATTGCAGGAGCCCTGGGGAGGGCAGACAAGAAGCACTGAAAGAACTGCTGCTGCCCTTGCTGCTTCCACCTCCCCAAAGCACAGCAGAGGAGCCCGAATGAGGAGGAGGAGACATCACCAACACCAAACCACTCAGCTCAGACGCAGCTGAGTTGAGCCACACACATCCAGCCAGCCTGGGCTTTCTGGCAGAGCAGCAGCACCCTCTGCGGGGTGCACCAAACCCCCGTCCCGCCTGTCTCTAGAGCTGGCTGCGCCATCCATCTTCCCTCATCCCCCATGTCCCTCGACCACCAGAGACTCCCTGGGCTGCCTGCAAACAAGCAGCTGGAGGAGCAGAGACAGATACCCCTACCTGCTGCCCCATGCACAAGAGAAAGTTTATCCTTCATTTGTCAAGGACTGGCAACAATCAACTCCTAAATGCCCCTCCAGCTCCAGGAAAGCGCATCCCCTCTCAGTGTGGGGTTTATCCACCCTGCTCGCCCCAGGCTAGCTTGCAGGGACACAGCGCACACAGATTTCGCTGCCACACCACACAGCAGGCTGTACAAACTAGCATCTCATCCCAAATCTGACATGCAGCTCTGCCCAGACCACAGCTGGTCCTGGCACAGGAGACTTCCAGTCAGATTTGGTCCCCTTTGCTCTTAAAAAGGGGAAAGGAAACAATTTCCTCCTCCATCCAACCAGGTAAAAAAGCTGGTTTTACCAAAGGCCAGCAAAGTGGTGCCAAAGTGCTCATGGCTCATCTCCAGGCTTTAATTTCACAAGCTGGAGAGTAGAAGTAGGGAGGGGGACATCTCCCAGCCTCCAAGATGCATCTTTTTCTTTGTTTCAAATGCACATTCAGCTGCAACACTAGGGAGGGCTCAGTGGGCATGATCTAGCACTTTGCAGCATGACAGGAAAGATCCTTTTGGGTTTCCCAGGTGGGCCTATGGGATGAAAGCACAGGAGTGTCTAGCCTATGTCCTGAAGGACACAGGACCTGAAAGGTGCAGCCAGAGGAGCACAGTGGGACAGTGATATATCCTCAGACAATGTGGACATAGTGGACGCAAGCAGAAAGAGGAAGCCAGTGGGATGCTTGCAGGAGAAAATGGGATGTAGGGGCTACCAGAGCAAGAGGACTTCAGCAGCTATGCCTTGGTTGGCACGAAAGGCTCAGCAGATCCAAGGAGAACACCACACTGCCCATCCAAGCGCCCACAGGCAGGCATTTTCCTTACCCTCGCTTCCTTCTCTTGGGAACCACCTAGCTGCCTCAGGGCCACAAAGCTAAAATGACCTCCTCTTAGCCCTTCCCATACCTCCCTTCCCTGAGAAACCCACAGCCCCACTGGAGGAACAACTGTACCTCTTGCCCAGTCTCAGACTGGAGTCCCAGACTCCAGCAGGGATCCAGTGGAGCAGATGGAGGATTTGGGAATGTCCGTGTGGCTACGTGGAAGACAACAACAGAGCATCAGAGCTATGACACATCAATGCATCCATCCTGACACTGCATGCTGTGCCCACAGGCAAGGGTCAGTCTAAGACCAAGGAACCCCTCCATACAAGAAGGTCATGGTGAGGATACCAATCTCTGTGCATTCCTCCCATGCCCAAGTTGCAGCACAACTCATTCAGCTTCACAGGATTCAAAGCCAAAGCTGCCAATGTGCAGCCTTTCCTCACAAGACCCCTCCTTGAGTCAGGATAAAGAGGCCCAGGCAACCCCTTTGTTCTGTGCAAGAGGGTCTCATTTTTTGGCAGAAGGTCTAAACTGCTACAGGGAGGCTTTCCAATGCTGTAGGGAGTCTCAACCTTGTGAACCACTACAGGGTCTCAGAGGATTTCATTAAACATCCTGCAAGGTCCAGACAGCTTCTCTTCCATCTCTGCCAACAATGAGTGTCCCAACGTCCCATCTGCATGTAAGGGCAGGACCATGCTGCCTCCTTGCCCTTAGCATTGCCATCAGCAGAAGCTATAGCACCATGTGCTTGCCCTCCCCACTTTCTCTTGGGAAGCAGCTCACAGCATCAGGACCACAACTGAAATGACTTCCAGATTTCACAAAGCCAAAATGACCCACAACATCCCCCAAAGCACAAAGCTGACAATAGGGTTACCAGGGGTGTGGCACAAGCCAGGAGAGCAGCAGTGACCCCACACAGCTGCAGGTCTCCCAGCTTCAGCTGCTGCTTGGTATGACTTATAGCTTCAGCAGGTGCCTGACGATCTGCTCAGGAATGAGGCATTTCTGGCAAATGGTGTCAGCCTCCCACACCACTGCCTCACAGATGCTGCCATCCTGGAACTGCCACGGCTCTGATTTCTCCCCCCAGAAGGTCCGAAAGTCCAGCGCCTGCAGGGGGACGTTGGCCAAGCCAGGCCAGGGACACGGGTCACCACTGGAGCCAACCAAACCATTCCCATGACCGCCAGCCAGCCCCGCAGCCATCCATAACCACAGCACAACACACGCT